GTAACTTAGATGTTTTGCATTGAAGAAATCTTAGTATCTTTGGGATAAGAGTACTCTTCTGTTTGGTACTTGTATAGTAGGAACCATGATGGCCAGGCAGTGGAAAGGCATCAGAATCCTGTTACTGACATTTGATGTTGGTCTCATTTGTGTGTGTGTGCAAAGGCAAGAACTGATGCAGCTTTCAGCTGGAGGTTTCAGGGCCCAGGGATTCCAAACTTTTCTAGCAGCTGATTTTTTCTATTAATAAGATGGCATATATCTCTAGCAAGTGGTGAAATCCTGCAATGATAAACAGGAGATGACAGTTGACCACTGGCCATATTCACCTGGTTTGTCTTCAACATGTTTAAAGCTGTTACTTAAGAGGGAATTCAAGCCTTTATGACTGCCTTTAATTTGGGAAAGAGGATAAAAGAAAACCTTAAAGACAGTGTACTTAAGTGTGTTTCTCATTTTAGAGTCCTGATGGGAGTCACCTCAAGTGGAAAGATTAAAAAAAATGCTAATCAGGCCAAAGAAAATTTTTCAAGAAGGGCAGTTGTGTGAGGAGGAATTAAGAGGGAGAAGAAATTAGACCTCTGTGCTCTAGTAACAGCATGAACTTTCTTTTCTTCTGTTTCAGTCACAGAACATTCGTTTGCAGCTAATCAGCTCATATTTTAGCCCAATTGTGTACCTGATATTTAATACTTAACGTCTCGAGAGAGAAATATATATCGGTTATCTTAGAGGTGTGCCTGTGCTTCTAATTAGGATACTGATAGATTGTTCCTGCCTATTTCTAGCATGTATGCATACGCTGCATACCGGTATGTCTATCTGTTTGCTTCTTTAACTTGATATTATATCCACAGGAAAACAAGATACAAGAGATCACCTTGTGATCAGAATTGAATTTTTCAATGAGTGCATTCTTAGTCTATAAATAGCTCTTATATCAATTATGTTATGATAACTCCTGTTACTGATTACATTAAGATCTGGAGTTTATGAACAGCTGCAAGCACTTGATAATGGCACAGGAATGGTATCAACTGTTGAGAAACAGGCTGGAAGTTTGCAAGAATTTCTCATAATCACCAGAACTTACTGGTATGTAGTGAGAGGGAAGCCCATGCAATATGAGGGTTTTCTTATGATTCAATTGACAAAACTTTGTTATCAGTGTACTTTTCAATCGGGCTTGAACCTATTGATTGCAAAAATAGGCAGCTGAAAAGCTTTGCAAGGAGTGTGCATAACAAGGCTTTTAAGATCCCACGAGTTTGTGGGGAGAATTGACAAAGATGGAAAACTGCATTATGCTCTTTGATACTGCAAAATTGAGAGCTGTGCTCAGCTTTTTGCCATTGTTCTTGCAATGTGAACCCTTCCATAATCATTCAAGGGGAGATTAATAACCTGGTAAAAGGGAATTTTTTTCCAGGCTGGTGTGATTTTCAATATTAGGCTTTTCTCTAACATCATCCCCTCTCCAATTGGCGCATTGTAGCGTGAGGATACAGGAATAGTCAGGATATAGACAGGATCTGCCTAGTTTTTCTCTAGTACAACAATTACTCATTATGGCTAAAAGAAAAGTGTCCCTATCCTGGTTGTCATACTTCAATTTAGTTCCCATATCTGTAATTTTAACTGGTTGCACTTAATACTTGTACCTGATTGTTCTCATGAAGTTATATTTTAAAGTGATTTCTTCTTTGAAATTTTCTCAAAGTTTGTAGTATTTATGTGTGTGTCTTGTTCAGGAGGTAACAGCTGTCTAATTTCAGATTGTCCTGGAAAGCTGTTTTACTTCTGCTGTAGTGTGTTAAGGTTTGTGTTAGGATGTTAATTTCCTAGGTAAAATATGAATTGCTCAGTTAGCCTAGACCTGAGAGAGAGCAAGGTCATTTAGACTTCTCAAATAGGGAAAAAGAAGTGATTTACAGAGTTGAAGGTTAAGGGTCCTGCTTATGATGCTGAAGATGAAGGTTTAAATCCTTTCCTTAATTTGAAGTGATCTGAATAGCAAGTCATTGCTCTAAATTGAGCAAAGCTGGCTCTTCCTAGTGTTTTTATAACCAATAATTCTGGGAAAAAAAGAGATATTTCACAGCTACAAGTTTTAATTGGCAGTATTCTGATAGCTCTAGTCCATGATTAGTCACTTTTGTGACAGTAAGTTACTTTGAGTTTGTTATATTCAGGTAACTTCAGAACATGGAGCTTTCAAAGGAAGTTTGTGTGTTGTTGTCCTCTGGGCAGCAGTCAGCAATGAGATCCATTTTTACCCAAGTGTCCATGTAATTACTTATTAGTATGATCTTAGGATAATATCCTTCTCATTCATGGAAATGAGGAGCAACTATGAAAAGGAGATGCTGTGGGTTTGGGGGTTTTTTGCTTAATCTAAGATCAGAATTGAGTTGAAAGGATTTTGGAAAATGGTTCCTCTTAAGTTACTTCTTAGAAAGTTTTGTACTTTGTCCTTTATACATCTGCCCATGGGACAATGGCCTTATTAAATAACATTGAAGATTAAGTGTTAGTACATTTTTGAAGTTAAATATCCAATGGAAGTTTTGTAACTTTGTTCTTTTTTAGCAGGCATTGGGCAAACAGATAGAAGACTCTTAGGTATGGAAAATAATGTCAGTCTTGTCATGTTCCTGTTAACACTTTGGCAGTAGCTGGCAAAAGCTTACATAAAGAATAGACTTTATGGAAAATTGGAATGTGTAACTGCTGTGTCACTCAAGCCATATAGAAGATGTAAGATACTTTAAAGTAAGAGATATTTGGAAAAGCTGAATGATGAACTCATCATGGTCAGGTGTTATTTTTCTTCTGGGATGGAGGCATCCCAAATCCTAAATGAATTTATAAAATGGAAACTACTCAGCGTTTTCAGGCCAAAGGAGGGGTATTTGTAGCATAACTGCAAATAAGCTGGAAGTTAGTGGAGAGGAAAGGAGTGAGTATGTCTAGGCTTTTTCTACAGAGGTATTGTGGAGAAGTGATGAAAAAATACTCCCAGTCTTTGTATTTGAGCCTTATGCATTGGAACAAACCTTATATGAATTTCTTTTAATCTCTTCCTAAATTATTCCAGCAGCATTACAGTTTTGAAGTAGGGGTTGTGCTTACCTAAGTACAAAAGTCATGACCTGGGAAATTATTCATATAGACTCCTTGGAGATTTAAGAGACTATAAACTCCTGTGACTCTGAGATAAAACACGTTACTGATGCAGTCCAAGCAGTCTCAATGTACAGTGAGGAAAATACATGGTTTGTGGAGCTCTGGTACGTGCTTGACTGACTGCTGTTATTGGTTGATTTCTGTGTAACAGAAATACTAATATGAGAAAGGCTTCTCTTTCTCAAATGAAACTAGCTCCTTCAGAAGATGAACAAATGTATGGAGACAGTAAAACCGAAGCCAGTGATACAGCCATGGCACCAAGAAGCTGCCTTATATTGTTTTGTCCGCTCAGTTTCTTCCTGCAACCTGTGTTTCTCTTTGCTTTGGTTCTATGTATATTATTAAACACATTTTCCTATGGAAAATATACACTTGATAACAAATTGTTTTCTAGTGCAACCAGTCTGTAATCTTGACTGTCAGAAAGTACAGTTGCTGAGAATTTTTGTCCAAGAATCTTGTTTTAAGTATGTTCAAGGGTCAATTTGACCCAGTTAGCTCATTGCTATAACCAGAGGGAAGAGGGAAGCTTGCACATGCGTTAGTAATTCAAAGATAACATTAAAAAGGAGTTCGGAGTTCATGTGGTACATGTTTCATGACCAGCAAAAGGACAGGAACCTGCTGAGAACTATTTGGAGATGGCTTTTCAGTGCAGGATTTGGGATCTAGGGTTATCTTGTTTTGCCCTTAAATTGCCCTTAAAATTGCCCAACATGGTGCGTTGTTTGTAATGCCTGGTTCATCCTTGGAAAGGCTAGAAGAGGAAGAGCTGAAACTACGAATTGTACCGGTTCTTTCTTTGGTGGCACATTAGAAGCATTTAAGAGGTGGATAATTATATAAAGAGACAGAAGGAAACAGGTCATGATGGCTCAAACTTCATAGTGAAGTTCCTAGGTATGTTATAACATGTATGTTGCTTTACAGGCAATATAGTCTGTTTTGGTGCAACTGTTTCTGCATAGAAACCAATCATTATCAGCCCTCTAAGAGGGCGTACTGTATGTTCTGTTTGAGGAATAAAACCTGGTTACTTTTCTTTGTACAAGTGACTGTAGGAGCAGAAGGACAACAGCTCACTCAATCACTTTGAAACCTTTCTTTTGTGGGGTGGTTTTAAAGAAAATGGTTATTTGCCAAGCGTATGCAAATGTACCTATGCAAAAAAATGCCTTGCCTGTGTTTCTGTGGTCACATTGGTGGTATTAACCAATTCTTCTAGTAAAGAGACAAAGTGACTCTCTGTGCCAAACCGACAGGAGGACTCTCAAGGAAGTGAGATAGTATCACAACTTACCTGACTGTATGCTACTCCTGTGTAATAATCTCCCTCTTTAGCTTAAAGGAAAAACTAGTACAAAAAATAGCATCAAAGTTTTTTATAAACCTTAATGAATTTATATTCTCTAGGGTTTTTTTTCTTTTATCTACAGAAGCAAAAGCTGAATCTGATTTGCTCTTGTTACCTATAAATGCCCACATTCCTGCGTTATGTCTGGCAGAGCCAGGAATAGATCAGCTGTTGTGACTCCATATCCAGTGCCTTAAGTACTTCACTGACCTTCCTCTACTAGCGGGATATCTCTATTCCATATGTTGTTCTAAAACCCTTACTTGGAGCTACTATCTCTTACTAAGAGCTTTTCAATTCTTGCCCACTCAGTTTAGTCACTCTTTCTTTAGCAGCAAGAAGTAGTTTATATTTTAAAGTATCTGAAGAGTATCTGCACAATGTTTTCAGAACTGTATCTGGTAGCTTAGTGACAAAAATAGGAGTGAAAAGCTGCATTAACATATTCATTTTACAGGGCTTTAAAGAAAGCGAGCGGGATCTGATTTCCTTCCTGTCCACCAGCACCAGCAAAAGTCTTTGCAAACCAGCCATGGACAAGTCAAACCTTTTATCTGTAGGAAAAAAAAAGTGATTCTATATGTTTCCCAGAAGGCATAATTGGCTTTCAAAGCCTCTCCGTATCTCATATTTACAACAGAACTCCTCTTGGCTTTCAGATTGTGAAGTGATTCTGCAAGGTTTGCACTGATAAGTTGAGATGTCATTTATTTTATTTTATTTTGTTTTGTTTTGGTTTTGTTTTAATTTTATTTTTCTTATTTTTTGTGTTTCTGAAATTCTAGAGATGAAGGTATTCCTCAATGTCATTTTTAGTATTCTTGGTTGCAACTGATGTGTATTTTCATTAGTAGAAGTAAATTACTGTAGTATTTTTGTTTAAAATCTTAGAATCAGAATAGTTTGGGTTGGAAGGGACTTTTAAAGGTCATCTAGTCCAACACCCGCTGCAATGAGCTGGGACATCCTCAACTAGATCAGGTTGCTTGGAGCCCCAGTCAAACCAGATTTGAATACTGGAATTTTATTACAAAGTCGAACACAACATGTGTTTACTTACTTTCTGAATAGGTCTGGTCTGTATATCTGACTGGAGAAGAAAAAATACACTGAGAAAAGTAATCCTCTGCTTCACCTTGCAGACAAATAGGTCAATATTATTCATAGAACAAAAGGCTGCACGTGCTTTTCAAGAGCCAAGGACCTTCAGCACCCAGGGGTAAGGAAAAATGACTTGGGTTATTTTTGTTTGTTTTGCAATAAAGCCACTAATGCAATGCACCAAGATTTACAGTTACTGTTTCCCAAACGTTTTTCCATAAGATCCAAGGAAAAAAGATTGTAGAGGAAATTTTTTGTTCTGATGCTGCAAACATTTGTGTGTCTAATATTCCTAGGAGTAAAATGCCTACAGGATCAGGGTCTGGTTCTACAAGTTGTTTTCTGAATCTTACAGCAAAATTTTGAAGGTGTATTATAGAATTTTGAGAACATGCTCCCACAGGAAATAAAAACTTTGTGCCTGAAAGGTAAAAACCTAATTGCAAACACTTGACATTTATCATAGCTATCTCTGGTAGAAAAGGACGTTCATTCCAAGTGTTACAGAATTAGCACTTTAAACTTGATCTCTAGAATAGCTTTTTATTCTCCTGATTTCTCAAAACAGTCATAAGGATTTTGGACTGGAGCTTAAGAGAGAAAAATAAAAGTAAATAAATATAATATCTTAAGCCTGGAAGATTAGTTACTGTGCATCTATTGCTGCTACAGACTCAATGTAAAATGAGTCAAAGTTAAAACTGAAACTCTATTATTAAGCCAAGGAAACGGCTAATATCTGCTGCATTTTAACTGATTTAATGGCTTTATTAAAAGCTCTTGTTTTAAAGCTAACTGAACAAGGATCCAATGTCTGCCTCCAAACAAATCCTCTTTGTGACTTGGCATCGGTTTGTTAGCAGGTTTTTTCCACCCTGTATGTCTCAATCAAGGACAACAGGTTTTGAAAGTTTAGGAACATATTTATCTTTAGTTCCTATTCCTTGACAGAATTTTATTACTATTTGAGAGCTGCAGGTAAAATGCCAGGGTGTTGCAGGTTTTAGTTTTTGGAGGGAGATGTATTCTTTTAGTATTTATGGTGTTATTCAAAAGAATTTACCAGAGCCCTACTGATTTTAGGATTTCAGGAAAGTAATTTAACATGAAAATAGATGCTTTGAATCGATGGATTCTGAAATATCTTACTGGTGCCAGTGACTTGTTATGTACTTTTGCCACTTAGAAAATTCTTGAAACAGAAAATTATTGGAAGTCACTTTGTTTACTTGCCACTATATAGTTTCTTATGGCCTTGAGACAAAATTTTTTTCCTAGACAGTTTGGGATTACTACAGAGTGTACACTATCAATATGATCTAGTGAATTTTAGCATGGATTGTTATATTTGCCAAGTCAGTTCTGAATGCTTCTAGGACATATACATCAGATGTGTGCTAAATAATACATCTGCATTAACTTTCTATGAAACTACAGTCTGCATATCTGATGTATTGTTGTTTGAGATGTTATGAATATTTAATACAAATAATTTTTGCAGAATGTCTACAGTCTTCATCTATGGTAAGCAATGTTTCTGATGTGATCTGCTTGTTCAAAAGAAATATCGAATATCTCAGTTCTAACATCTGTTTAATAATTTGGTTTACAACAGGATTATTGCATACTCATGCTCCATAAAAGCAAAACTGGTTTTCTGCTATTAAGCACATTATGAGACCTTAAAAAAATGAATAGAACTTATCATATAAGCAATGTAAAATCTTACCCTTTTTGACATAGAAGGAAAGAAACAACCTTGGCTTCCTTAGTAGAACCATGTTAATGAAACCAGATTTGTTATGCAGTTATTTGATACATAAAGTAAATATGTGAGTGGGGGATGATCAACAATTTGAGTTCATAAAACAGTCTTAAAGTTCTCTTGCTTGTAATATTATGTGTGCCACATTTTCAGGCCTTTGTTGGATTGCAAAAGTAGAAATTGCATAACTTTAAGTAAAAGGGGACATTTATTGCTGCTTTGAAGAAAGGTAGTTAAGAATCATAGAATTAAACTCTGTGTATTCTGTGCATCTATTCTTCTACTCAGTTACTTTCCTAAAACCCTAAGATCAGAAGCACTGAAGAATATTTTGTTTGCTGGAAAAAGTCAGGAAAAAAACCCCAACAACACTATAACCACTCTGTAAAGTGTTAGAATAGAGTCTTTAATGATTTGGTTTTGGTTTTTGTTTTGACAGTGAAAACAGAGTTCTGAGTGATAGAAATGCTTGCTGTTATGCTTATTTTTATATCCAGAGATATCAGTGTGGGCCTTTCCAAGGACAGAAGACAAGTTTTCAAGCTCTTCGGTTGGTTGATTTCTAGTTAGTCCTACCCCAGGGTCTTCTGTAATTGGCTTTGAGTAGGACTGGATTCACATAAACAGAATGACATTTACTACATCCTTAGTCTTTTCTTTGCACTGACTCTCCAATATTTGGGTTATGAGAAATTAGGCTTCAAGGAATATTGCTAACTGCTTTGTTCTGCTTCATTTTATCACCTGGATGAAGGTTGGCGAGTTCTGTGAAAAACAGACATGAGTTTATCTTCAAGAAGAGTAACATTGCCTGCAGTTATGCCAATAACTCTGCAGAAATGGGTATGGCATTTAAATCAGTCTTGTAATTCTGACTTTAGTATGGGTCGGTAGTACATTTACTTAGTGTAAATAAACAATGTTGAAAATAAACAGGGCTGAATTTAATTTTTCTTTTTTTTTTCTAGTGTAATACGATGTTTTTCTTTTCTGATAAATGTTGATTTTTTAAGTATGTGAAATATGTTTGCTTAATACACAGAAATATATATGTGTACACAATTGAATATTTGTTACTGTTTTTTTTTTTCCTCTGATACTGTAATTCTGTACCTTGTGCAAGAAATTGATTTTGCCTACAGATTAATGTATTTTTTAAAATATAAAATGTCATAATTACATTTCAGAATATTCAAATTAAACACAATGTACTTTTTCCTCACCCTCTCTGGCTATCGCCTGAACAGGGGATGCAGTGGATGGTCCATCGTGTATTTTGGGAATCAGAGTAATGCTGTACAGTGTTTCTCCATAGCCACTGTAGCTTGCCTTTTTCTGTTATCTTACGAAAAAGTGGAAGCAATGCAAAATCATTATGCCTATGTGCACCAGCATTGCCAAGTGTAACTCCATGCATTGGGGGTGTCTATGAAGTTAAAAATATACATGGAAGTGAAGTATGGGAATACAACTCTCTGCTAAACCAGATATATTAACTACTTAGAAATTTGTTCAAACAAACTGTAATTCATTAGTTCGATTTATTTTGTAAATGTGCAGATATTTTTCAAAAATTCATTGCTTCACAGTGTGCCTGAATCACTGTTAATAGGCTCTTCTGTTACTCAGAGGCTTTTAATATACCAGCAGTGTGAAAAATGAAATTTCACTGAAATATTGCTACAGTATTAAATGGTTCTCATAAGCAATTTACACAGGAAACAGCATATTTCTTATGGCATAAGTCCAGTGGGTCTGAAGTAGTATATGAACACATAGATCTTATTGGCTTGGGATGTATGGTATTTTTTTCAGATTAACTTATTGTTTGAGTTAGAGTGGAAGCCTGTGAACATACAATTTTAGTGCGATTGATTGGTACAGATTAGATTATACTACTGTCTTAATAACATGATCATATACTACTTTTCTGGCATAATATCTTCCCTTTTAGATTTAGATGTGTGCAAGATGTTCTCTTACAGAGTTTTATCCTAACAATTTGGTATATCTCTGTTATGCTGCTCAAAAATACTCTTAAAAATTGTGATTTAACTTTTCAGTTCTTATCCTTTCAATCCTGTGGTTACCTCCCCTTCCTCTCTCCCTCCCTCCAATATTCCACCTGGTCTCAGATCTTCAGTTGTCATAGTTATTTTATTTTTGGCTGTTCTTTGGTTATTTGTATGTTAGGAGACGAAGGTCTTTGTTCTTACAGCGTGTTGTTGTGTTGGACTCCTGTGGTATGCACACAGCAGTACTTGGTGCTGTGTGGGAGGAGAGAGATGTGTAACTTTGCTCAATCTAGCCTTCACAAGGCTAGGAAACTCAGTTTTAACTGTGCTGTATGTTTTAATTGGTTGCTTTGCTTTTTTTTTGCTGTTGAGAGGTGAGCGTTATCCTCCAAGGAAACTCAAGGCTTTTTCTCTTTTGACAAATGCACGGTGAGTAAGATCATTTTCTGTGCATTACCTCCTATTTTAAAACACAAATATTTTCACACTGCTATCAAATTACCTGTCAACAGCTACTGGCTTTACTTCTCTTTATCTGTGCACTTTGTAAGACCAAAATAAAAATAATGGAAGTAGGAGGAGGAAGCAGCACAGGATATTGCTTTAGGTAGGTATTGGGTTACACACAGTTGCAAAAATTTTCAAAGGCATGTGGTCCTCACTGAGGGCTCACTGTGTGCTAAGTTTAATAGCCCTGTTTGTGCTAGTGGTGTTTGTATCTGTGCATGTAGAATTCCTCCTGAAAATAGCTCCTCTTTATTCAGAAGGTGCTTTCATTATTTCTGTAGCAATACCCTAATTTCTGGAACTGGAATAGTACAGGCAGGGAAGGCAAGAAGGCAGGCAAGAAAGAGCCTTGCTTGTAAGGGCTGACATTTGTGAATGCATGTGCATGTATAAATTTGCTTTTGTTTCTCATAGACATTAGAACCTCAGACACCACCTTTGACTTAAAGTAGTGCAACTTCTATTTCTTGTAATGCAAGAAGGACCTGGAAATGTAAAGATGTTATGTTAGCACTACGTAGTCAAGAGAAACTTAAGCATTAGCTTATAAAGTATTATTTTAGGCTATCAATTATCCCCAATCTTTATTTCTTAAATGCATAGAATGCGTAAACATGTAAGAAGTCTAGTTTAATTATGGCACTACAAAAATCGCGAGTCTTGTTTTTTTTTTTGTCTCCTTCATAAAAAGTAAAATTTTGCTTTTTCAGTGTGCTAATCTGGGTGCTGTGCCAGTTTCTTAAATACATGGGGTTTTCTCATTTTCATTCCAAATATCTCACATGCTTTGTCCAAAGTTATCTCACACTTCTTTCCGTTTTAAAATCTGATATGAAGTACTTATCACAGTTGACATGTTTTATTCTTAAGTAATATATTTTTAACTAAAGCTACAGGGCCTCATTTAGATTCCAAGGGGTCTTTTAGCACAGGCAGAAAAATGACTTGCTTAATAAGCATGGGGAATTCTGCATATTGAATACTATTAAAACCAGATTTATAGTGTGTATATAGACTAGACATACAATTAATCCAACACAGTTAGAGTAAATGTCTTCTTTATCTTTTGTATAAATAACTTTGCACACAGCTAATTTTTTTTTAAAGAAATTAGATTTAACAGGTCACATGACGTTCAAAACATTGTTTTACTGTCAAAGAGCAATCATTTATTCAAGATAAACACTCACAAGTCTACTAGACTTGTTATGTGATTAGTGGAAGAGTGCTTATGTGCCTGATGTTAGATGCGAGGTGTATAAACAGTGAGAGTTGTAGATTTTTCCACAGCAGCTGGGAACTTCATAGCATACTAGGTCACACAGGGTTAAAAGCTCTGTGTACATAGGTGATGTTTATTGCAGCTGAATGATTTCCAGTGATTCTTGAAGAGATTGCATAGTGTCTTTTAAATGGAAGAAATATTGATTAGAAAATGAGAATGTGGTTTAGATTGCTCAAATCTAGGACTGGTATAAGCATGCAAATTTCAAGATTCTTTTGCATCTTTATTCCATCTATTTTTCTGGCCTGAAATCATACGCTGCTTTAATCAACACTTGCCCCTCCCCCAAGGAAAAGTGGTCACTTAAGCCAAATTGTACTGAGAATTAGTAATGTCTGTCTGCAAGGCTAAGAGCATGAAAGTAATTTTTCGGTTTTGCATTTGGGTTCCCTGAGATGAAAGGCCAATGTGCTAATCCAGGAATTTTACATAAGGCACTTTAAGTGACATGATAATGGTGTCATTAAATGGATACCTTTTATAAAATAACCAGAGGCAGACAAAGCATTCATGTATGAAACATCTCTTCATAAGGATAGTCTGAAAAATAGTCATTTAAAGATGAATAAACAACACCCGTGCCCTCTTTGTCTTTTGTACAGCAATAAAAATAAATATAATAATAAATAATATAATAATAAATACAATAATAAAGCAAAAGAAAGAGTAACATCCCACGAAGATTTGAAGACAGATGAGAGGTTTAAATGGGGGATGGAATTGAGTGTGCTTTAAATACTTTAGGAACAGTGGCCAGAAAACCCATGGTGGTTGAGGTGAGTTATTTGAATCATTAAAGGTCTTATTTTTAATGGACTGTTTTGTTTCGTGAGTTACTGAGGCATCTGAGAGAAAATAATGGGGATAACCACAGGTAAAGAAGTAAGATGGGCTTGACTGGAAATCCAGTATAGAATTAGACCTTAGAGATAAATTATTAGGATAAAGCATCAGCATGTGCTGCTAGTGGATCTGCAGAGCTTGATAGAAATAGTAAAGGTTTTGATCCAGAAAAAGAGTTGAGGAAGGTTGACGAGAAGGAATATCTTTGGGAATGGGCAGAGACCCAAACTGAATTCAGGAGACTGGTAGTGTGTTTTTTGGAAGAAGTTTATGTTTAAAATTGCTAGAAGGACAAGCTAATATGTTCAAGGAAAGGTCTTGCCACCTTTATGTATTTAATCTGTGCTAAGATAGCTGCATTTTGTTTAGAGAGATCTGGAATTCTTGCTTCCACTTGATAATACATAAAAACTTGTGAAACTAGTTTCACAAGTTTCTCCTTCAGATACTTGTTTGAGCTTTTATGTTAGCTATGAAAAGATTCATGAACTGCCTAGACTTCAGTTATCTGTTGTGCTGTACTTGTAAATACTAAATTACCTAATCATGGTAGAGGCTGGCATGATGCTAGAGATCCAGTTTGTGAATGATAGGGAAGAAGGAAGGTGGCAGACTAACATTTTCTGTCATTACGGAAGAGATCTTGTCAGGTCTAGGGACTGTTTAGGAGAGAGCTACTGACAGGACCTCCCTGGGGGAAGGTGTTGCAGGACTTTTCCCCTCCGTGATGATGTTGGCCAAATAAATCTAGATCTGATGCTATAGTCAAGAAGGGTTCTGGGACCAATTTTTGCTTTGAATACATATTCTTTATACTCAAGCAGGTACCTAAAAATGGATTCTGGTACAGAAGTCATATACAGGTTGGCGAATCATAGTTCCTGCTTTGAATAACATAAAACCAGTAAAGCTTCCTATGATTTTTATTGTGTATAAAAATGATCCCACATGTATAAATGAAATAAAAATGGGACTAACTTTAGCAATCCCTATGGTTCAGCTACTGGGGTGGGGATGGGGGTATTTTCTATACTGTGACATTCCGGTTTCTACAAGCAATCAAATTTCATAGAATATCTTGTACACAAAATTGTCAACAATCTTGGAATTTAAAATTTATAGCAATATGCTTCATAGTTGCCATGAAAGGTAGGTAAGAACGTGTGTGTGTGTGTGTATGAGAGAGTGAATAATAAGTGCACAGAGCTTTTTAAAAAGTCTTTTAAAATATCAATGGTTTAATACACTTGGTCATTACTTGTCCCTTGTACAGCTTGACAAGGTTTAGTGGCACAATTAACGTTGCACTCTGTCTCCTCTCTGTCTTCAGTTCTTTAACAAATCTTTGATATGTTTTTCAGTTTCTTCTTGCCTTCTTTGAACATCTAACATTCTTCATACAGTAACCAAGGAAATTGGCAGTGTTTAGTGCCCTACTCTGCTCATAATCCTTTTCTGTTGGCAGAAATCCTTTGGAAAAAAACCAGCTTTTTCATCAATTGAAGAAAGTGCTTGGCCATTTTCTAGCTCTAGTACTTTAGTCTCCTCTTGAATAAATTAGGCTTCAAGAAGTCAGAACTTGACCTTCAGACTGTGTTATCTAGCCTTGAAGTATATCAAGAGCTATTGCTGAATAGTTATTTCTACTGGTAGTAAAACCCATACTGATTATGCTGGATTGCTGTGTATGAAGGGAGAAACTAAACAAAACTGCACACAAGGTGTTGGTGTCAGTCCTATGCAAAAAATCAAATTTCCCTTATATGTCTTCTCTGTGCATTACTTTCAACATTCTACAATACACAAGCAAGTACCTGAATAATTATATTTTTTATTTACTTTTGGTAAATTGAAGATATACTCACGTATACAAAGAAAATTCATTACCTTGCATCCAGGAATTACTCATATTTAAACTCGCGTTCTTCCTCATTTTCATGCTGTTGCTATGGATACTGGCCATGCACCATGCTGCCCCCCACTCCTTGTTTTTCTGTCTGTGGGTCAGGAACAGAGGCAAGACCAACCCAACGAAACACCAGCTGCTTTAAGGACCTAAAAAAGAAGTTATGGTTTTACGATCAAAACTTGTGAACCAATATAATTCTATTGTAACAATGGGAAATTTACTCTGGTTCCAGTCCATCTTAGTATCTTACCCTTGGTAGTGACTTCCTAAAGTTTCTTTTTTGAAGATGCCCTTACTCGGTTGCTTTCAACCCTTTATTCATGATTACATTATGGCAGTGTGTTTTTCATAGTTTAAAGTAGCTATATGAGAACAGATTTATTCTGGCACAGTGCCTAATGGGTGCCTAGGGAACAATACAAAGCAAGGCAAGTCAAACTTCCTAAGTCACGCTTTCCAAGAGTACATATCCAGTTCTTGATCCAGAGTTGATAGACTCTCATCTCATTTCTCATGTTTCTCATATTTCTCATAACATGTTTCATCTTCTCTCTCTGGCAGATCCTAATGGCTGTCTTGGACTGCTGACCTGTATCTCTACTAATACACATGCTTGGGCATCAATTGTGTTAACTTGGAGACATATCTTTGGTTCCTTTCTTTCCCATGCCTTGCACATCCCTGAGGTTACAACTTCCTGATATTTGTGTCTTTGCTTTTCATTTGGCACCACTAAAATTCTTATGAAGGACTGACACCTGGGAGGAAGTGTCAGCACCCTTAACTCTTTTCCTTTCTACTACAAATCCTCTTTTTCTTGCTAGGATCCTCTTTTTCCTACCATTCCTCAGCATACTCTGATTTCTTCACAGTGTTTTTTCATCA